CAAAAATTTCCACGAAAATTAAAAATTTTTATTCAGAATTTTTGGAAAAGCAGTTTTATAGCCGATTAAATTTTAAATTTCAAGTGCCTTCAAACACCGTTGTTTTTTTATAATTTTTTTGTTTCGGCTTTCTTCCATATAAAAATAACTTGCGTTTATTCGTTATATGGAAGCAAATGCGACAAAAAAATCTAAAAAATCAACGGCAATCTTTAGCCACATTAAATTTGCACTTGGTCGTAGTAAATTTTAATGGGCTATAAAACTGCATACCTAAAATTTTTCTAAAAATTCGGAATAAAATACTTACAATTTTGGTAAAAATTTTTGTAATTTTTATAGTTCTTGTAATAAGATTGAAATGTTCATTTTTATGCAAAAAAAAAAATAATAACAACTTGTACTTATATACTCGTAGTAGTGTATGTAACATATAAGCCCGTAGCACCATACACAGTCAGCTAATACGTTCACTCGCACGACTTAACTTAAAAGTAATATTATTTAAAAGTAATTAAATATTGGCTTAGAATATTTTTTTACAGTATTCTTCACGAATATACATATATATTAATTTCTTCAACTATGTATATACAAATTTCAGAATAAATTTCGAGTGTGCCAATAAAAATTGGAGTTTTTGTTTCTCAAATCATCGTCACCTTATAATCAATGTAATTTTTTTTTCATTTGGTGGCACACTAGTTTTATTACACTAGATTCCTTCGTTTTGGCAAGAAGAACAATTTCACCGTTTACTCAGTTTTAATAATTTGAAGTGTCTTAAACTTTTAAAAGTAAAAAAATCGTTAAATTTTAAAAATTACAACATAGCTGTGACAGATATTCTCCATGCTGCATTTATTTTTTTTTTTAATTTGGTGGCACACTTGAAACTTCATAGATATGCTGTATTTGATGCCAGCTTTCATTGCCTTTAATATGAACTTTCTATTTGAAAACTTCCCTAGGTTATTAAAAAAACAAGTGTAATTTTTCGTGTGGCAATGGAAGCCTAAATAAACGTTTTAAGGCGAAAATGGTAATACTTGATTTATTTTTTATTGTACTTGTTTATGGAGCACCATTGATTGAAATAAATGCAAGAAGAATGCTTAAGCGGTTTGTTTTCTGCAGAGAGAAGGTAGTGAAAAAAAAACAACTCGTGAGACTTGCTCATATATGCACATTATTGGCGACCGACGATCTGTTACATCTGTTTCCATTCCATTTGTGCTGGCTAGGTACAGCAGCGGTACTCCAACTAAATTCATCGGTAAGAATACAAAAGTCGTAAATCACATTTTTACATTTATTGACTAGTTTAATAAATTGATTGCAATTTTGTAATCAATTAAATCTCTGTCATAGTTATTACTCGTGAATATAATTACCCTAACTCGTTCATTAACTAGTCAACACGTGAAGTAATCATGCAAAAGCAGCAGATGCAATTGTGATTTGCATAGAATACAATAAGCCAGCAGCAACTTCACAATAAAATGATTAGAATGCTAAATAAAATATAATTTTTTCTAACAAAGTAGGCAATGCAAAAATTCAAATTGATATTATTACAATTACATAGCTCTACTCATTACAAAACACAGCTAGCACCGTTAAGGCGTCCGTTCAGTAATAAGCTCTGGTGAAATCTTAATTAAAAATTAATGCATAATTAATTAAAAGGCATTGACTGCCTTTTGTTTTAGCAGCTCAGCTCTGTATATCTGCTTATGCCAAGAAATTTATGTGGCCTTTTCTCGTGATTTTGTTGTTTTTTGGTTTGCCGCTCAACCAGCTAAAAGCTAAAAATTAATTAGTAGCTTGCTCTGTAGCACAAAAGCCATGTAAAGCACTGGCAAAAGCGTATATAAAATTGTAGTCATCCATACATTTGTACTTGTGCATTCACATGCAGCTTGGCATTTTTTTCGTTTAAAATTAATTTTGGTTGCACAGCTTGAGCCAATGTATTCTTGCTTCTTTCATTTGGCTTTTCTAAGTGGGTGGTGGTTTTGCATTAATTCAAAGCTTTTGCATTTGAAATTGTGAAGAAAGCGCATCCAAATGTATGTGTGTACAAATTTCTATGTGCACTCACGATTTAACACGTCTTCTCCGGCTAATTTCCCAGCACCATTATTACCATCAGCACCATCATCATCGTCATCGTTTCCCCACTCATGCTTGCCTTCATCATTTTAATTTGTAAAATGCAGCGTTGACATGTGGCTGTCATGTCCATCCAGGCAACAAGCCATTCACTCAACTACCCACCCACCCAATTTCGTTTTCACCCATACAATTTGACTACCCACCTTAGCTAAAATCTACCTATATACATATGTATATGTGTATGTAAGTCAGCCTATCAGTCAGCCAGTGTGCATTACATACATACATGTAAATAAATCTGTATGCGTGTATATACGTACTTTCAAATGCAGCAACAATCATTTGTCAGTTGCACTTGACGTTCTTTTGAAATTGACGCCGACAACATATTCACATTTGTAGAATTATTTTTTTCCATAAAACATTCAAGCATTCAAACATAAGTATATACTTATGTGTGTGACAGCACACATTTTCGTACAATTAGATCTATACTATAAGTACCCATAGATATCTTCTGTCTGCCCATGTGGCCTCATCATAATCATCATCGACATTGGGAATGCATGGAGCGAGAACTGATAAGATTCTTATTACAGAAAAACGTGACTAGAAATATGTAGTAATATACCTAAATACATGTGTATATACCCATAAAATTTGCAAACGTAAATTTGTTCAATGAATAGAAAACTCGGAGAAATGGTTGCATGTAGAAAATTTTTTAATAGCGACTCGAGAATAACACAGCGCAACAAAATGAAAAAAAGTGTTTAATCCCTGGGGTTGCATAGTATTTTTCTGTCAGGTTATGAAAAATACGAACGAACGTATTGTACCAAATACATATTTTTATCAGATTTTTTTTTTCATTTTATGCAAACTCAAAGTTTACAGTTCTCATTTTACATAGATGGAATTCTGAGATACTAAGGAAAAAGCTATATCTGAAATCATCCAAAACTGTTTTAGATATTTATAACTCCTATATTTAAATGTCGCTTATGGCTATACCTTTAATTTGAGCTATAGAAGTTGAAAATCCACTAAATAGTTTTTATTTTTAAGCAAATGTTTAAAAAAATATTCCTATACTGGTGGCAAAAATAATAGACTCGCCTTATTATGACAAGTTTTGGCTATATGTCTTTGGTTTATTTAATGTTTAATATTTTTTGTAAAAGTCTAGCGAGTTATACAACAAACACCATATAAGTTCACATTTCAAACTTTGTACAAAAATTCAAGGAATTTTCACCAAAATTTTAAACTTTTCTTCTGAATTTTTAGAAAATTTTTTAGTATGCAGCCCATTCAATTTTAGTATAATAAATTGTAAGTTGGAAGAGTTGCAAAATACCGTCGATTTTTAATAATTTTTTCGTTGACATGGTTTTTGCCTTAATTTCTCAGAATTTCATATAGAATGAGGTGGCATAAAATGAATAAAAAAAAAATGAAATAATAATACTGATAGAAATACTTGGCAAACTACGTCTCTTCTTATTTTTTATAACCTGTCAGAAAAATACTATGAGACCCTAGGGATTAGATTTTTTTCATTTTGTTGCACCGTGTCACTGGACATGTGCAGGCTTAAATGAGACATTCAGTAGATTGGGAGTTACCTACACTTGCCATTCAAGGGTATGTAAGAAGTAATATTAGAGAGAGATTTTTTCAGAAACTTTAAAAAGGTGCAAATCCATAATCATAACTATATACCCATGTCCATATTTAAACCCAAACCTGTAGCGATATCAGTATTTATACCCATACCCCACACACAGAAGCACAACCATGTCCATATGCACACAAATAGCTACATCCGCATTCCTATTCATATCCATATGCTTATTCATCTAAATTTATACATATCCGTATCCATATCCATGCCCATATCAATATCCATATTCATATCCACATCCATAACCATATCTATATCGATATCCATAGCCATATCCGTATTCATATTAATATTCACATCCATATTCATATCCATATCCACACTCTTTGCTACATCCACATCCATATTCATATCCATATCTACATACTTATATCCATGTCCGTTTTCATATCCAAATTGATATCCATATTTATGTCCATAGCTATAACTATATCCATATACATACTCACAACTATAGCCACATCCGCATCCATATTCATATCTATATCCTTCTCCATATCTACGTGTATCCTTATCCGTATCCATATTCATATTCATATCCGTATCCAAGTCCATTTGCATATCCATATCCATATTCATATCCATATCGGCATCCAATATCCACATCCATATCCATACCATATCCATATCCATATAAATATGTACGTATCCATATCCATAGCCATATCAATATTCCAATTCATATCTATATCTATATCCATATCCAATCCACATCTAATCCATATCCTTATTTATATCCATATCCATATACATAAAAATCCATATCTAAGTAAATATTCATGTCCATATCCATATTCATATCTACAAGTATGTATATCCACAATAAATAATTCGAGCTTTTGCAGTAGTGCTAACCAACTCGGCCTAATGCCCTTTTCCAAAATCCTTGAAAAGTTTGCAGTCCACTTCGGCAGCTGTGACCGAATAGTTAAAGACAAGTGTGATGAATGGTCCGTGGAGCCTGTAGAATCTACGATTTCAACACTGATAGAGAAAAAATTTAAATACTTAAAAACCTTCTGCAGTTCGAAAGCAGCGAGAACAGCGGGTCCTTGCATTGTTCGAACACTAAGCAATGTATGAGCTCTAAATATTTTTGTTTTGTTGTTTTTTTTTCTTATCTAGTAATTGTCGTCGTCTATTTAGTTGTCCATTATCCTATTAATAACCTCTTCCCTTTCTTCCTCCATTTCAGACGGGTTCAACCCTAACGCCCGAAATGTTACTGACAACGTCCGAGTCATCGACGTACAGCGCCTCCGAAGTAGCTGGCCGGCTACAGGTCGACATACGCACCGGGCTCAAATGGACCGAGGCTAAATATCGTTCGAAAATTATCGGCCACAATGAGTTGAATGTGAATGAAGAAGAACCCACATGGAAGAAATATATTGAACAGTTTAAGAATCCGCTTATACTGTTGCTGCTGGGAAGTGCGCTGGTTTCAGTGATAATGAAACAGTACGACGATGCTGTCAGCATAACGATAGCCATCATCATAGTGGTAACAGTCGCCTTCATACAAGAGTATCGCTCGGAGAAGAGCTTAGAGGAGTTGAAGAAGCTGGTGCCACCTGAGTGTCATTGCTTGCGCGAAGGACAACTCGATACGTTTTTGGCGCGTGAGCTAGTGCCCGGCGATGTAGTATACTTGAATGTAGGCGATCGCGTGCCCGCTGATGTGCGACTCTTTGAAGCGATTGATCTGTCGATTGATGAGTCGAGTTTCACAGGCGAAACGGAGCCGGGACGCAAGAGCACCGAACTCATATTGAGTAGCGCAACCAACAAAGATCACACAAATATGAAGAATGTCGCTTTCATGGGCACGCTGGTGCGTTGTGGCAACGGCAAGGGCATCGTAGTCAGCACTGGCGAGCGCAGCGAGTTCGGCGAGGTCTTCAAGATGATGCAAGCCGAGGAAGCGCCGAAGACACCGCTGCAGAAATCTATGGACATACTCGGCGCACAATTGAGTTTCTATTCGTTCCTCATCATTGGCGTGATTATGCTGTTGGGCTGGCTACAAGGCAAACCACTAACCGAAATGTTCAATATCAGCGTTTCGCTTGCAGTAGCAGCCATACCCGAAGGCCTACCTATTGTGGTCACTGTGACGCTGGCACTCGGAGTGATGCGTATGGCCAAGCGAAATGCTATCGTCAAAAAATTGCCTACCGTGGAAACGCTCGGTTGCGTGAATGTCATTTGCTCGGACAAAACAGGTACTTTGACGAAAAACGAGATGACAGCAACAATCATCATCACATCCGACGGCTACATGGCCGACGTCACTGGCGCAGGCTACAACGACCAAGGCGAGATACACATACGCAATTGCAACAACGTCGAAATGGCCAAGTCTAATATCACCAACTTGCTTGAAATAGGTGCGGTCTGCAACAATGCTTACATACAAAATGGCACGCTGCTCGGTCAGCCCACAGAGGGTGCACTGATCGCTGTTGCCATGAAGAATGGCATGTACGCCACGGCGGAAAACTATGTGCGCATACAGGAGTATCCTTTCTCCTCTGAGCAGAAAATGATGGCTGTCAAGTGCATACATAAATACAACAATAACAAGGAGGAAATTTTCTTTGCTAAAGGCGCATTGGAAATGCTTTTGCCACAATGTACGAAATACATGTTTGGCACACAGACTGTGCCATTAACAAAGCAGAATGAGGCGGAATTCCTTGCGGAGGCATACGAAATCGGCCGAAAGGGCTTGCGTGTGTTGGCATTGGCCAAGGGACGCAGCCTACAGGATCTTATTTACTGTGGTCTTGTGGGCATCACCGATCCGCCGAGGCCGTTGGTGCGCGAATCCATTGAGATGCTGATGCAGAGCGGCGTACGCGTTAAGATGGTGACCGGCGATGCGCAGGAGACCGCTATGGCTATTGGTGAGTGGAAAATAAAAATATAAAATGATTGGTATTTATTATGTTAGTATTTTTATACATATGTATATCCCTTCCTGCTGCACGAATTGTGAATTTCACGTGGTCCTTAACCGAAAAGCTTTGACAGCGACCAATGTATTTAATAAAATCCACTTTTTTCTCTCATAAACTTTGGCACACAGAAAATTTCTTAAAAACATTGAAGTTTCTAGCAAAAGAGCTCAAAGACTTTCGGCTTTAAAAACTTTGCGTGCAACTCATGCAATTTGCGAACGTAGACATGCACGCTTTTGCGCCCAAAAGTATGTAAACGAATTTGCGTTGTTGAGTAAACTTTGATTTATCGGCAGTACTTGAGTCGACGAGACCGACCAGCCACATCGTTGTAAGCGACTGTAATGTCACCAAAATCATTAAAGCTACAATAAACACTCTAACTACTAGCCTTTCCCTATAATTGCGCTGTACTCCACATACTTCCCTGCAGAAAAAAATTACCAATTGATAAAAAATAGCCCACTTTTAGTTAGCTATTTTGCGGGATTTCTTTAAAATATAATACTTGTAGTTCGGTACAAAAAGCTAACTTGAAACTAGTTGACAAGTAATGCAGGAGTAATGAAGGAGATTGTTTTCTTTAAACGCGTTTCTATTTAAATATCCTGCACTTCGCAAATACTTTTTCGAATTGAGGACAAATAAAAGGAAGATCGAAATTTCATATTATCATTTTGAAGTTATGTCTGACGGTGTTGGAATATGGGACCACCTACAGCAGAATATGTAAGCAAATATGAAATGTAATAAAATAAATAAAGTAAATCAAAATTAAATATAAAAAAAAATTTTTTTCCTATTGTTATTTTATGTCCAAAAGTAGTTAGTTACATCAAATGCAGAGGTAAACCACCCTTGACTATTTGGCGGCCATCGCCATAGAAATATAGTTAGCTTTCGTCAAAGAAAATATACAGATAATAAGTGACTTTTAGCTCCTTCTTAATCAACTTAAAGTTAGCTTATAGTTAGATGCATTTCCTGCAGGGTTAACACCCATTGTTGCATTTTTTTTTGTGTTTTCATACCACTACAGTTATATCGGCCGGAATTTCGTTCAATAGCCGAATTTGTAGACGATTATCTTCTGTCCGCTTCGAGCCCCGTGCATTTCATTTCGAAATGTGAACAATTTGGAACTTCTGCACATATCGCTTTTACAGTAATCGTTGTCGAGTAAATCACTTTAACCTCAATTTTTTCCATGCTGCAAGGGGTAGAAGGTGCTATTTTGCTTTAACTACAGTGGAGGCCACATCAGATTAAATGCATTTTTGTGTATTCGCTGCTGACACGCTGAAACGGTTGGGTGTACCAACAAAATTAATTAACCATGTTGGCATGCGACTATGTAGGATGCAAATGTGAAACTCAAGGAGAGAATGTTGACCAAGATGTGTATGAGTAATACAATAGATAGGGATCTGGGTTAACCTGCACGTTGGTTTAGAGAAGTGAGGAATAAGAGGTGGTAGAGTAGCTGGCAATTTAGGAGAACTGCATAGTGAGGTGACTACCTAGCAGCGGAGGAAGTGATGAGTGAAAAAGAGTGCAGAACGGTATTAGAAGGACTAGCATATTGTAGAAGGATGTTGGTAAGTAAGCGTTGTTATTGGAATGGAAACTAGTACATGCGGAGCATAATGTGAAAATTACTTAGATGAAATGATTACACAAAGGGGGAGAAATAATATCCCAATGATCTGTTGACAAACATTTGGTAAACATTTTAGTAAATACTAGGAGCCTCTTATATTACGCGTCAAAGTCAAAAGTCGATAAATTTCGACAATTCGATACGTATATAAATTCGATAATTCGACAAATTTCGATAAATTAAGGTAACTGTGCGTTTCCAGAACTGGTTAAATTTTGATTATTCAAAAATTTGCATATCTCGATTTATATCGATAACTCGATTTTGACAGCCTCATAAATTTCTATATCTATCGACGAATTCCGATAGCTCAATACAATCTGGTAACTCGCTAAAATTCAAAACTTTGTAAGTTTCAAAAACTTCGATTCCATAAATCGACAAATACCCATAACTTCCAACAAATTTCGATAAATAAATAATCATCGATAACTCGATAATTTGAAAGAAGTCGATACATCACAAGTCGATAAATTTCTTTAACTGATAAACTGCGAAAACTATAAATTTTGTTCGCCCGATAAATACTGACTATTCAATAAATATCATATAAAAAACAATTAATTTACTTTTAAAATTTTTATAACTCGATAACTATCGGTACGTTTCGACAACTAAGATTTTTCGTCTCGATAAATTTCGATAAAACAATAAACATTGATCAATTTCACTAAATCGATGCATTCTGAGAACTTAACAAACATGGATGATCCGATAAATTTCGATAACTATAAACTTTGGGGATGAAAAAATAGACAACTTTCGATAACTAAATTTCGAATGACTGGATATATTTAGATTCTTTTTCTTACCATTTCAGTTATCCTAAGTCGAATTATATATGTACATATATTATGTATTTTCATTGTTTTCATTTTCATTCTCGTCTTTACCTTCAATTTTGTCTTCATCATTTCTACGAAAACAACTCAAATTAAACAGATTGCAACACCAAGAGAAAAAGGCACCCCTGCTGCAGTAAATCAAATGATTTTTCTAAAAAACAGCCGCGTCCTGGGTAGCAAAAAAATCGTAATCGTAAATTCCTTAAATATAGTGGACGTCGTGGTCGGCCTATTCAGGTTTGTTTATCGCGTACTTTGCACCAGAAATTTTGCAGCAGACTAAAGCAGCGCATCCATTAAAGAATAGTGAGTAGGGGTATTCCACAAAGGAGAATTCTCTCTCCAATACTTTCAAAGTAGTACTTTATGTCATTGTTCTTAGACGCCCTGCGCGGTAACTTAACTTATTTGAAATTTGGGCTCCCAGTTGCTATTCGATGAAAACTTTAACAAAACGGAGCAAGTGGATACAAAGCCCATATTTTCTTATCTCTCGCAATGGGCGCTCGACAAGGCCACCACGATTAACCCTGCGAATGGAGACTTAGTTAGAATCCGTGGCTTATCAAGGTCCATTCCTGCTCTTGCACTTAACACTTAGAAATTTTAAGTTTTCGACTTCATTCCAGCCTTAACCGATAACATCACAACGATGCTGGGTCTGAGTAGATCTGTCACTACCCACATGCCATGAAGGAAGGTTTGGGTGTTGGTCGGTTATCCAAGCGAGGGTTGTGACAAAAGAGGAAGTAGCGGATGAAATGCTTGAAAATTAAAACACTTTTGAGGTGGTTAGCACATATTCTGATAACCAGGCGGCAATCAGGTCCTATTGATGATACATTCTAAAACGGCCATATGATGCCTGACTTCTCTCTCGATCTCACCATATTACGTCGCGCATTTGGTTTCCAGGCCATGGAGATATAGTAGTTATAGTGCATGGCCGATGATATAGCAAGGTCCTTCTGGTCACTATGCCCGTCTAAGGAGCTTCTAAATTGAACAATCACATCTTGTTACTGGTGGAAGCTTTAAGAGGTCTTTGCCTAATATCAGTCCATGTAGTAGGGCCCAACATCACTTCAAACCCCTAATGTACCAGCTGCATGAAGGATAATGAGAGGGATGCATTCCGAGATCTGCTAATCAGCTGTCCCGCTTTCGCGCGCTTAAGTTTTCAACACTTTGAGTTTCATTTATTTCTTATCGCAATTCGCTTTCGACCAGTTAGCCCAAGCTAAAGCTCGCAGATGGCAAAGTCTACGTCGCCTACTGATTTTTACTGCGCTAGAGTCTAAATTTTTGTATAGGGTTAGATTAGGGTCAGGGGCTGCCTTCATCCAACGTAGGTGAGAGGTACACTTAGACCCAGTGGGGCCGTTTCGATACCAATTGAGAGCTCGAGTTCGAACCCGTCTGTTCACCTAGAAGTAGAACCACTTCGTTATGTTCAGAAAGCACAAGAATTCTTGAAATTAGCGTCTTCTCGCCCACATAAGAGCAGGGCAGTGACAGAGGTAGTGTTCCACACTCTAGATTTCGTCCACGTTGCGGCAACTACCACAGAAGTCATTGCCCGCAAACCCATTCTGCTAGCATGCCTTCCCATTAAGCAGTGGCGTGAAAGAATACCGGTCACCAGCCTTAGTAAAGGGCGTTATAACCGAATGAGTGCGTCGGATCTTTTCTTGTCGAGTCTGGGCTAGATTTGTCGAGTCATTCAACTCGTGGGTTCATCCGACCATCTTTTATTTGCCTTCTCGACGAAGTATGTTCTGAACCGTGTCTTGCAGGTAGATAACGGTTTGCCCGCTGCATGAGAGGAGTTGACATTAGACAGGGTTGTTCCCTTCCACGCAAGCTCGTCCGCTGCTCAATTACCTTGAACGTAGTACACTTTGAAGCTAAATCATTAAGGACTTTCCTACATTCTATCGCAGTTATTGACGAGGTCTCGCAGCAATCCAGTGACTTGATAGCTGCTTGTATATCGGAGTATATACATAGTTACTGATGGCAGGTAAAGAGAAGATTCGATAAGCCAGAGTGCAAGCTATTTTATAGCTGCGAGTTCTGCTTGGAAGCGGAGGTCTAATGAGAGGGCCTTCGAGTGTAGGGCCCACTCCCTACTCTTAGACTTAGTTTAGAGCCAACCACGTATATGGCTGTGGAGTTATCTTTTGTATGAGCTTTTATTATTTTTATGTGGTTTTGAAATGAGAACATGTCAGTTTGTGGCCACTTTGTAAATGAAAAATTGGTTAACCACGTAAATAGAATAAATAGCCAATGCTCAACCAAAGGCAATCAAAAAAGTATGTAACTAACTAGCCAGCTTACAAAAGCACGCTGCATAGAGCTAGAGCAAAAGTAAGCTGCTACAATTGTTTGCCTAACCATTCTGACTTTGCTTAGTGACATAGCAAATGGAACATGAA